AGAGAGAGAGAGAGAGAGAGAGAGAGAGAGAGAGAGAGAGAGAGCCAGCTGTCAGTTCAAACTGGCAGGATGCAGACTATGTGCACCAGAGAGCACTACCATAGTTCAAATTGGAACGATACAGACTGTATGTACACTGGGACAAGGTCCACTCGTGATGATGGGGCTTTGCACTTTTTTTTTCCCCCCCTGACAGGGCGACGGCCTTGAGATAACATCATTTGATCGGACCGGCCCCGGGTGATTCAGAATTGCATGTTTTACTCAGTTGTTTCCAGTGGAGTTCAAACTCAGGTCTGTATTTCAACGGTTCATTGGTGTACCAACTGAGCTACTCCAGTTGAAGAGGGTTTTCTTTTTCTCTTTTTTTTTTTTTTTTTTTTTTTTTTTTTTTTTTTTTTTTTTTTTTCCTGGTTGCAACGGGGAGATGTGAACATGCACTTTCGAGTCCCTTGCCCATGCACTTACTCTTCAAGTGCCTACACATTTGTGATGATGGGGTGTTATGCTTTGGGGAACAAGGTTTTCTTTTATTCATTTTTTGTTCTTTTTTTCGCAACGCACAGACATACATGGGAAGATGCATGCGCAAGTCCCTCCTCATGCAGATGTGTTAAGATGCACTTGCAAGTCCCTTCCCCATGCACTTGTGGAGTCTTGTGGGACCCACTCCCCCTACTCTTCTAGAGCTACAATGGCTAAGGAAAAGGAAAATTGAGGGCCGTGCTGTATCCATGTGCGATTTTTCAGGTTCGAAACAGAATGTACGCACGTTCTCTTTCAGGCGAGATATAGTCATCATAAGTGTCAGCTGCATTGCCCAAAGTGGCTACATTAGAAATTTATTTTGCTAAAATCTATTTTGCTAATAGTAGTGGGGAACTTTCTTCACTGACCCACAATTCGTGAGATTGCCCTACCCCTTGCCCCCTGTCACTGAGTGTATCTTTCAGCTCTGGTACAGTCATGATGAGGGTTCTTTGTGTTCTTGAAAACTGATACACCATGGACCCTCATTATGACTATATCGCACCTGAAAGATAGCTTACATGCATTCCCACACACACACACACACACACAGAGAGAGAGAGAGAGAGAGAGAGGTAATGAGAATGCCGTTAGCCCACTTTTCTGAGTGCATAGCATGGGTCTATCAGGTCGGATACACACGATAGTTCTCCTGTACATGAGATATACAACTTACTTTTCATGTCCGATACAGTTATGATGAGGGTGCAAGATGACACTTGGATAAGGGAGTTTTGTTTCGTCAAACGTATACGACCTAGTTTTCATGTCGGATACAGTCATGATAGGGGTGCGTGGTGAACTTTGATGGAACATGCACAGTCTGAAACCACCAGTACTTCCGAGCCTCTTTTTCCTCCGTCTAGAAATGGCCTGCCTGCGCGCCGAAAACAAAGGAGAGCTGGCACGGCCATTTTGCGAGGACCGACAGGAATTAATCGCTGGGCAAAGTACTGTTGATTTAAAATTCTAACGTCACTCGTTGATCCACACCATTGGCCTGGTAGGGCCCAACAACACAGATCGAAGATTTGTTATATTGATGGGAAGATTCAGGCTGTGGGCCAGTAGCACTGAGGATGGCCTGGATCCACGATCTGTTCGGCTGTTTCATTGTTGTCTTCAGAAAGGTGCAAGGCCTACCATGTTTGTGTACTTGAGCGTTGGGATGCATATCCAGCTGCACCTTTTGTTTGTTGTCTCAGTGATGCTCTCTCATATGCATTTTGTAGTTCTGCACAAGTGGGGGGGGGGGGGCAGGTGGGGAAGGGAGGAAAAGAAGGACGGGAGGAGAAGAGAAGAAGAAAAGTGGGAGGAGGAGAAGAACAGGGGAGCGAAGACCCTCATTGGGTCCACGAAACTCACCGACAGAGAGCAGGCTGGTAGAGACTGGCATAAGAAACAGTTTGGGGGTTGGGTTCCATAGAAAACTGAGCTTAGGGGCAGGCGTTGGCTATGGCAAGTGGCCACCCCAGACAGCACCAGTCCGGGTTTTGGACTGTGGAAGCACCGCATCCAATTCTCACAGCCACAGTGGCTAGATTAAACAGCATGACGCGGCGCGGCAGACGTCACAATGGAAGCACCCTATCCAATTCTCACAGTCGCAGTGGCTCGATAGACCAGCATGACGCGGCGCGGCGGACGTCACAACCAACATCTCTCCCCCAAAACACGGGCACAGCAATCGCAAGGGTATAGGCACTGTAAAATATAATGTGGCAAGTGAGGGTCTCATACGCGCGTACGATATTGTGCCTAATTACGCGGTAATCATAGGTATAAATTCACTACAAAAAACAACAATTTGCATGGGCTGCACTCTCATATTTGTCACAACATAATTGATATTCAGATCAATGTTAGCTGAGCATCGTGTGGGTCATCACTGTGCGCCACTGAGCGAGCTTCTTGAGACTCGCCAACTGGCTGCCATGGACAGGTGATATTGGGGTCTGATCAAAAGTAAGGGTGTTTAGCATATTATTTGCAAGCACATGTCGTGCGGATGATTACGTTTGGCAGCGCACATTTGCACCCTACCTGTATCGCACAGAGGCATGTGCGACACGCCGGGAAAATTGGCCACCACAG